TCAGCAACGCCTGCCATGAGAAGGGAGTATGGGTTCGAGGGAGTGCAGTGTGGTGCCATCAGCAACGCCTGGCTTGAGAAGGGAGTATGGGTCCGAGGGAGTGCAGTGCGGTGCCATCAGCAACGCCTGCCATGAGAAGGGAGTATGGGTCCGAGGGAGTGCAGTGCGGTGCCATCAGCAACGCCTGCCATGAGAAGGGAGTATGGGTCCGAGGGAGTGCAGTGCGGTGCCATCAGCAACGCCAGCCATGAGAAGGGAGTATGGGTCCGAGGGAGTGCAGTGCGGTGCCATCAGCAACGCCTGCCATGAGAAGGGAGTATGGGTCCGAGGGAGTGCAGTGTGGTGCCATCAGCAACGCCTGCCATGAGAAGGGAGTATGGGTCCGAGGGAGTGCAGTGCGGTGCCATCAGCAACGCCTGCCATGAGAAGGGAGTATGGGTCCGAGGGAGTGCAGTGCGGTGCCATCAGCAACGCCTGCCATGAGAAGGGAGTATGGGTTCGAGGGAGTGCAGTGTGGTGCCATCAGCAACGCCTGCCATGAGAAGGGAGTATGGGTCTGAGGGAGTGCAGTGCGGTGCCATCAGCAACGCCTGCCATGAGAAGGGAGTATGGGTTCGAGGGAGTGCAGTGCGGTGTGGGGCCGAGGAGAACAGTTTTTGTTTCCTGTATTCTTGTCTTTTCCTTTTCGCGTGTTTCATTTTCGTTTTGCATTCTGTTTTCCCTTGCACCCTCACCACCAACTTCGTTTCTTTCCTTGTCGCATGTTTCGATTTCTCTTTATGTTTTTTTGCATTTTCTTTTTGCTCGCATCTTCACCAGCAACTTATCTTTCTTTCTTTAGATCCCCCCTCTTGCATTCCCGTATGGCAGGGAGCAGCATGGCGGAGTGGAAAGCTGGTGGGGGCGGCTGCAGAGCGGGAGGCGCGGCAACAGCAGCTACATGGAAGGGAGGAGGGAGGCGGGTTGGAGTGCGAAGGAGGAGGGAGCAGCAGCTGTCACCAGCAGCGCCTGCTTTCACAAGGGAGTATGGAGCTCAGGGAGGGGACCAATTTCCGCTCTGTTTTCGCATGATTTTCATTTGCTTGTTGCATGTTTCAGTTTCTGTTTCGTTTTTTGCATTCTCTTCACCAGCCACTTATCTTTCTTCCCTTAGCTCCCCCCGCTTGCATTCCTGTACCGCAGAGCGGGAGGCACGGCAGCAGCAGCTACACGGGAGGGAGGAAGGAGGCAGGTTGGAGTGCGGAGGAGGGAGCAGCAGCACCAGCAGCCTTCTTTCAGAAGGGAGTACGGGGCTCAGGGAGAGGACCATTTTCCGCTCTGTTTTCGCATGCTTTTCATTTCCTTGTCGCATGTTTCAATTTGTATTTTGTGTTTTGCATTTTTTTTTTGCTCGCATCTTCACCAACAACTTATCTTTCTTTCCTTAGATCCCCCTTTTGCATTCCCTTATGGCAGGGCGCAGCATGGCGGAGTGGAGAGCTGGTGGGGGCGGCTGCAGAGTGGGAGGCGCGACAGCAGCAGCTACACGGGAGGGAGGAGGGAGGGGGGTTGGAGTGCGGAGGAGGAGGGAGCAGCAGCACCAGCAGCGCCTTCTTTCAGAAGGGAGTATGGGGCTCAGGGAGGGGACCATTTCCGCTCTGTTTTCACATGCGTTTCGTTTCCTTGTCGCTAGTTTCAATTTCTGTTTTGTGTTTTGCGTTTTATTTTCGCTCGCATCTTCACCAGCAACTAATATTTCTTTCTGTAGACCCCCCTCTTGCATTCCTGTATGGCAGGGCGGATGGAGGCGGGTTGGAGTGCGGAGGAGGGAGCAGCAGCTGTCACCAGCAGCGCCTGCTTTCACCTGGGAGTATGGGGCTGAGGGAGGGGTGAGGGGTGAGGGGTGAGGGGTGGGGTCCTTGTGTGCTGTTCTTGAGGCGCCTCAAGACAGCTGTGAACTGCCGGTGGCGGTTCTGTTCTGTTCACTGCAGTGCACTGCAGCTTGTCGTTCTGTTTCCGTTCCGTCAGTCCGTTGGTCCCTGAGCTTTGAGAGACGTCTCAAAGCTCGTGTTCTCCTCACTGCGGAGTCGCTGCAGTGAGCAACCTCTGGGTTTTGGGCTAAGTCTCAAAACCCATTCTCTTGTTCCTCACAGCAGCCTAGCTGCAGTGAGCAAAATTACACAGCTGGTCAGGCAGCACGACTGGGCAGCAATGACGGGCAGCACCTGCTTTGAGGATAATTTTCATCTGCCCCTGGGCAGTATGCATTGTGTTTTTTCTCTCTTTCCCCCCCATCCAACAGGGTCCCAAGCGATGGTTCCCACCTCACCGCGGTGCTTGGGTGTAGCGTCAGGAGCTCTGCTCCTGGCGGCCAAGAGGAACCCCCCATGCACACCTACAGTGCATGGGTAGTACAATAGTATGCTATTTAGTATAGCAGATTATCAATATCTAGTTCTCAATTAGATCAGTAGACATTTGATACTGAGATCAGTAAATGAAACTTCTAGTGAACATGGACCCTTTGGTTGGATACTTGATACTGAGATATTTCACTGGATTATAATTACCGTACGGTACTGATATCAGGAGGAGCATCAATATGTAATTCTGTAATTGATAGTTACTACGGTAAGTGGATTACTAATATGAGCAGTCACAAAGGGTGAACTCACTGATTGGTCAAATGAGATGCTGCAAAGGCAATCAGTCATACAGAGAGCGCCAGGCAAACAGTCACACAGAGAGAGCCAGGCAAACGGTCACACATCCTCATTGTGGTGCATGGGGTGGAAAATAGGGGTATGACTTGTAAAAGGAGCATTCGGTTTTTCCCTTATGTTTACTTTTGTCTTCGCTCGGACAACAGGGAAGATTTGAACCTGTGATCTCAAGTGTAACATGCTAACTAAGCCACTTCTCCGCATATGCATTCAAACAAATTCTTGCACCGATGCATGGAACCGTATACCTATCCGCACAGCACTGGAACATCAGGGTGAAAAACTCACCCACCACTGAAACGTCTTCAATAGCACAGCTTGATGGGATTAAACGTTGCCTCCTCTGCACTCTTCGCCTGCCGAAACTCCCCCCTCTCTGTGTGCTCCGTGTGCATGTAATGGTGGAAGGCTGGCAGACTCTCTGCGGCCTCTCTGTTCAACCACGTACCACCCACCCACATCCCTCCACACCCCTTCAATTGCACAGCTTGATGGGATCAAACGTTGCCTCCTCTGCACTCTTCACCCGCCCAAACTCTCCCTGGTGCTGCACGTTGTACGCTCGGTGCTCTGTGTGCAGTGGTGGAAGGCTGGCAGGGAGCGCACCGATGCTATGTAGGGCAGCAGCAAGCGAATGCTGTCTGCTTCCTTTCTTTACCGAGCCTGGGAGGGAGGGGGGTTGAGCAGACAAGGGAGAATTGGGAGGGGTGGTGGAAGGCTGGCAGCGAGCGCACTGAAGCAATGTAGGGCAGCAGCAAGCGAATGCTGTCTGCTTCCTTGATTTGCCGGGCCTGGGAGAGGGGGAGATTGAGAGTACAAGGAAAGAATGGGATAGGTGCTGCTTGTGCATGTAATGGTGGAAGGCTGGCAGCGAGCGCACTGAAGCAATGTAGGGAAGCAACAGGCGCATGCTGTCTGCTTCCTTTCTTTGCCGAACCTGGGAGGGATGGGGGACGGAGAGGGAGAGGGGTTGAGAGGAGTGGAGTGTTGGGAAGGCTCCGTGTGCATGTAGGGGTAGAAGGCTGGCAGGGAGCGCACTGATGCAATGCAGGGCAGCAGCAGGCGAATGCCTGAGAGGAGGGGGAATACAGAGTTTGGGAGTGGTTGGGAGTGGTGGTGGGGAACAGGACGAGGCAGGGAGAAGATGCAGACATGCATGCTATGCACTGCCGCAACAGGCGAATGCTGGTGGTCCTTGCTGCAGCGCGGCTGAAAGGGAATGAGGAGAGGAGAGCAGATCTGGATGGGAGTGCTGTGAGTCTGTGCTGCCGTGCACATGCCATGCAGGTGACATGGCACATGAAGATGGTACGGTTTTGTAGGGGAGTGTGGACAGGATGGGGTACCTACTCATAGCGGGGTGGAGGCACCTGCTCATGCTGATTTTCAGCAGATGGTGTGTGTAGGGCAGAGTGGGTTTCACCTGAATCATGGAAGGGTGGGTTTCACCTGAATCATGGCAGGGTGGGTTTCACCTGAATCATGGCAGGGTGGGTTTCACCTGAATCATGTCAGGGTGGGTTTCACCTGAATCATGGCAGGGTGGGTTTCACCTGAATCATGGCAGGGTGGGTTTCACCTGAATCATGTCAGGGTGGGTTTCACCTGAATCATGGCAGGGTGGGTTTCACCTGAATCATGGCAGGGTGGGTTTCACCTGAATCATGGCAGGGTGGATTTCACCTGAATCATGGCAGGGTGGGTTTCACCTGAATCATGGCAGGGTGGGTTTCACCTGAATCATGTCAGGGTGGGTTTCACCTGAATCATGGCAGGGTGGGTTTCACCTGAATCATGGCAGGGTGGGTTTCACCTGAATCGTGGCAGGGTGGGTTTCACCTGAATCATGTCAGGGTGGGTTTCACCTGAATCATGGCAGGGTGGGTTTCACCTGAATCATGGCAGGGTGGGTTTCACCTGAATCATGGCAGGGTGGGTTTCACCTGAATCATGGCAGGGTGGGTTTCACCTGAATCATGGCAGGGTGGGTTTCACCTGAATCATGTCAGGGTGGGTTTCACCTGAATCATGGCAGGGTGAGTTTCACCTGAATCATGGCAGGGTGGGTTTCACCTGAATCATGTCAGGGTGGGTTTCACCTGAATCATGGCAGGGTGAGTTTCACCTGAATCACGGCAGGCTGGTACAAACAGGCTGGTACAAACAGGCTATATAACTCAATCAATCAAAACTTGTGCAGTAATATCTAGCGGGCCTGCTGCTGGCCATGAATCAAATGCAGCCACGCGTCAGACCAGGAACCCAGAGAGTCGTTTCTGTAGCTGCCAAGTCGACCAGTCACGCCACATGCAGCCACGCGCCATACCCGGCAGGTGAGAAGTCAAATGACATGCGTGTGGCACACACAAGCAGCCACACTCTCAGAAAATGGCATGCGGTAAAGGCAGGCCTGAGAGTGTCGCACAAACAGCGGAATTCACCCACTTGAGTGGCTCGGTTGTGGAAGACTGGACGGGGGTGTGAGAGATGAGGGAAATGCAGGGGCGGTGGTAGGGGAGGTGTTGGGGAAGGCGTTGGCGGGAAGTTGAGGTATTGGACGGGGGAAGGGGATGAGGGGTGAGTCGGAAAGCAGAGAACAGGGGTGGAGGGAGAGAGGGGGGGAACGGAGTGAGACAAGGGAGGTGAGGGTGGGAGTGAAGGAAGAGAACAAGAGAGGCAGCAGTGACATGAAGGGGGGGCTGGGGGGGTGAAGTTAGAGAGGGGGGAATGAGTGGAGAGCGGGGAAGCTGAGCGGAGAGCAGGGAATATAAGGGCAGAGCGGGGGGGAAAGGAGAGGGGGGGGGGGGGGGGGAGGAGAGGGGGAGGTGGGAGGAGGGAGAGGAGAGGACGTCTCTAGGATAGGTCACAGGGAGAGAAGGGGAAGCGCGGGAAGGGGGGGAAGATGTGGGAGGACGGGCGGGGGGAAGGGGGGAGGGGTGGGGGGGGGGGGGGCGGGGGGAGGGACGTTTTTAGGCTAGGTCACGGGAGGGAAAGGGAGAGACAAAAAAGCGGGGAAACGGGAAGGGGGAGGGGAGATCAAAGGGTGGCCGCTTCGCCTTTTACCTTCCACCTATCCTCTCCGTCCTCAATTATTTCCCTTCACCCGTGCACTCCTCCTTTTCTCCCCTCCGCCCACCTCCCGTCCTCCCCTTTTCCCGTCTTGCGTCCAGGGTACCATCGACGCGCACTAGAATCCAGGAAGATGAAGGGGAGAGCGGAAAGGGGAAGGGGAAGCGGAAAACAAGGGGAAAGTGGCCGCTTCGCCGTTTCGCCAGTCCTTACCATCCATTTCCCCGTCTTCTCCCTTCCACTCACCTCCGGCCCTCGTTTTTCCCGTCTTGCGTCCAGGATACCGTCGACGCTCCGAGGTCGACGAAACGCGCTGTATAATCGACGAAATGCGCTGTATAATCGACGAAATGCGCTACGTTACCGATGCGTCCGAAATCGACGCTACTAATTCGTCCAGCGTCACGATTCCGTCCGCATCATGCAAATAAAAGACAGATCTGGATCGCGCAACTTCTTACCAATACTGCGACATCTGATCATATCGGTTACAGCTAGCACGCCAACAGACGGCCGAAGCGACTTACAGTAAGTACCACCGAGAAAATGAGCAACACTTGCTACATCGTCTAAAAATATGCTGCGATGGAAAAGCTGTACTCAGAACGAGTACCGCGCTGAAAACATGAATCATCCATGGACACCAACAAGGTGAGCGACGAAACTACTACTGAAAGCAGATCAGGTCGAGAAGTCACACCCTCGCTATTGCTTTCTGGACAATGACGGGTGAGGGATTAGGTGTGGCAGGTTCGGAAATTCGAGGTTCGGGTTGTTGATAATGCCGTGGTGGTTGTGCCAGGGTGTCAAAACCACCCTTCCCATTGGTTCACGTAAATCTTTTCTCATCCACCCATTGTTTTTCCTGCTGCCCAAGTAAGGTTTCATCGAGCCAGCCGAACTTTTTACAACCACGCACGAATCCCACGACCAAATCGAAGCCGTTCCGCACCTCACGCCGAACTAAAACAAACTCACCTGTACGATTTCCCGCAAAGAACTCATGACCCAACTAAAGATAGTGTCACTTCCACCACCTCCTAGAAAGTACGAGCGTGCTCTTCTCCACCAGTGGGTTCAACAAACTTCCCCCAGAAGAAATACGCGCCCTTAGCAAATTCGTTTGCATACGGACAATCCAAACCAATATTGCAAATGTCAACCCAACTGTGTACTGAAAAGTAGACTGTACAACATGGGTTGGGCTGGATGGATAAGGCGGGAACACATTTTGAGCCGCCTCAACATGTTCACCACGGGGAATGTCCGCTGCCGCTAAGTCGGCATGAGTAAACAGTAACTGCAGAGGTCCCGCGCAAACTCCCGCAAAGGTGCAGGAAAGGTCGCGGGGATTGGCTCCCTCTCAAATTCAAAGGTGCGCAGTCTTGGGCTCCGGAAGTCGGAAAGTTGTCAGAGCTTGACGACACAAAGCATCGTTACCCTTCGCAGAAGCCACGCACTACGCTCGCAGTATGCTTTCCGTTTTGGCGAAAACAAATCGATTCCTCGTCAATACTTTCGGTCACACCGCTGACTCCGTCACTTCCGCCATTTTCCCCCCTCTGGCGGAAAACAATGGCAGACTCCCTCTCGCCTGTGGCGGGCAGAGACCAGCGGAAGCCTTTGTTTTGGCGACTCCCTCTCGCCTGTCGTCGCCTCCATCCAGCAAGTGCATGCAGCCTCCCTGAGACCAAGTCAACCCGGCGACATTCCCAAGACCATTCCAGTCACCTCTGCCGAATTCTCCAGTTCTTTATTCATGTCACTGATTCTCTCCAGTCAGCGTTAGCTCGTGCTTGTTTCCATGGCTTCCTCATCTCGCCATGGCTGCTGTCAAAATCTCTCAGAGATGTAGGTTACTACGATTAGGTCATAATCTTAAGAAGATTTATGATAGCTTATCGGCATATAAGCCTTTTTCAGTGGGAGAACTGGTAGAGCCGTGTCAGCATACAGCTTCTTTTAGGCTGATCATGTTAACTGCTCGCCTCTTAGCTTATAACCGCGGTAGTTATTATTCGTAACCGCTAAGTTAATTCCACCGTTTCAGTTTCTGCGAACACTTCCACGTTAAGTTTCTGATAAACTGATAAACTGATTATCAACCAATCGTTTTCAGCTCAGCAACATGGTCCGTGACGGGTGTTTCCTGATAAGGTTTCCACCGCTCTAGTTGAAGCGTATGTCGCTTCCGTTTCGTTTAAGCGTCGTTCCGATATAGTCGTACATCCAACTACTCGCCGATGGCTGCTAGTCGCCGATCGCCTAACGTTGAGTCAAGGCATTATGATACGCGAAGCAGCACCGTGTCAGGAATGCCATACGAGCCGCTTCTGCTAGCATCTTCAGGCAGCACCGGAAGCACGGAGTGTTATTACGGCAGTTTCCAACAGGGTTGACGGTTTTCACGTCAGAATGGCGCCGTAATGGTCAGAATGGCGAGTGAACCTCAAGTATCAAGGCGACCGGCATCCGGCGTCCGTAATGATCTACGAGCATCATCATCAGCAACAAGAGAAGCACCTTCGGGTCGACGGAAGCAGTCTCAAGGCAACCAGCATCCGGCGTCACGGTGACTCACGGCGACACAGTGACACACGGCGGAAACTAATGGGTTAACTACTCCGAGCAACGGGGTGCAACCTGACGAGCGGCGAAAGACGTGCGGACGAGAAATAATAGCGACTAGCGAATGTCGAACGGCGAGCAGCAAAGCGAACGGCTAGTGACGATGTGTGGAAGATGGCGACGAACTTCGTCGACGTTCCCTCAACCGCGTGCGACGTTCCCTGTGCGACGGTGTGTGGACAATTACGACTTCACGCGTTTGACCGTGTGCGGAAGACGGCGGCCAACCGCGTAAGGTGTGCGGAAGATGGCGACTTAACGCGTGCGACGTTCCGCATGCGGCGCCGTGCGGATGCTGGGCTACATGGCGCGACGATGCGCGGCATGCGACGTACCGCTTGCGACGTTTCCCGCCGTGCGACCGTGTGCAGATGATGGCGATTTACTGCGTGCGAAGTTCCGCGTGCCGGCGCGCTGTGCGGATGCATGCGACGATGTGCGACGAACGGCATGCGACTTACCGCGCGCTTCCGTGTGCGGAAGATGGCGACAAATTACGTGCGAGGCCGTGCGATTTACCACGCGCGACTGTGTGCGGATGATGGCGACGCGTGCTTGTGCGGATGCTGGCGACGTCCCGTGGCTGGCGCGGTGAACAGCGGTGAAGGCGTGCGGCTGGCGCGGTGAACAGCGGTGAAGGCGGTTCGGGAACAAGGCAGAATGTGGGGGAGAGGAGAGGAGAGGAGCCAATAAAGGAGCAGCAGAGGTGCCAGCAGAGGAGAACTGGAGCGAGCACGGGAGCGATTCGGGCGCTGCTGGAGTGCTGCTGGCTGATCCTGGCGCTGCTGGAGTGCTACCCGCCCTGCTGACCACCCGCTCGTGGAGCAGCAAGGCAACACTGCCATCTCGTGGCCAGCAAAGCAACTGGGAAGTGTCTTTCCCCTCGCCTTCCCTTCTCGTCACCCTCCATTCGTTTCGTTTCGTCATTCCGTGTTTTCCGCACCTCGTTCTTCTCTCCATCGTCCTGCATTTCGCGTTTATGCACGTCCCTCTGATACGTTCGGCTGCAGCTTAGTAGATGTCCTCCGCGGGTTTTGGGTAGCATAGATTTTGGGTTGGGTAGCATAGAGTTTGGGTTTTGGGTAGCATAGCTCCTCCCTCTGCTAGCTGCAGCCAGCGTATCATGGACGTGCATCCATCCCACCACCTCGTTTCCACGTGTTGTTTTTCGCTTTCAATTCCGCACTTAGTTTTTTTCGCTTTCAATTCCGCATTTCGTTTCCTTGTGTTTGTTTTGCTTTCTTTTTCATTCCGCAGTTCTGTTTACTGACTTCGTGCATCTGTCTGTGTGTTCCCTCCCCCTGTTTTTCAGCAACCATGGGTTCTGCACTCGGGAGGAGCAGAGGCGCCTAAGAAGGACGGCAGCAGCGACTCCCTAGGGTCCTCTCTTCGCTGTTTGGAAGGGCAGCGCGCATGCAAGGGGAGGGCGAGCGTGGTGGGATGACGCACGGCCGGCCCTACCCTCCCTGCTGACCACCCGCTTGCGAGGGCGAGGGTGACGCTGCAATGCAAGCGGATGGAGCAAGGCGAGGAGGCGCTTGGAGCGCGGCGAGGAGGCGCCTGGAGCGCGGCGCCTGGAGTGAGGAGGATGACGAGGGCGCATGGCTGACTCAGTGCACGGGCGGGCGGTGAAGGCGGTGCAGCGGTGGCTTGCAGTGGACGCACGTCAACAATCAGCTGCCGGCAACAACAAATTCAATTGAGCTTCCTTACCCTTGCCTCCTCACTCTCTCCCTCTCTCGATCTATCTCGCTGCCCTTCTCGTTTGTCTTTGAGCTTCCTTACTCTTGCCTCTTCACTCTCTCTCGATCTATCACCGACGCTCTTGACAGAGGCGGCACCGACACCTTCTCTGAATGTGAGTGCAACAGCAGCAGGTTTGCCGACGTGTCTCTGATGTTTCTGTCGAAGATTGTTGTGAACGCAACTCCTACGTCCGCCTCCTTTGAATGTGAGTGCAACTCCTACGACCTTCTCCTCTGAATGTGAGTGCAACTCCTACGTCCGCCTCCTCTGAATGTGAGTGCAACTCCTACGTCCTTCTCCTCTGAATGTGAGTGCAACTCCTACGTCCTTCTCCTCTGAATGTGAGTGCAACTCCTACGTCCTTCTCCTCTGAATGTGAGTGCAACTCCTACGTCCGCCTCATCTGGATCTGCGTGCAACTCCTACGACCTCTGAATGTGAGTGCAAGGCGAGGCTAGGCCAAGTGAGGCGAGGCTAGGAGCGGCGAGGCGAGACGAGGCGAGGCGAGGCGAGGCGAGACGCAATCCGTGGGTGGATTGAAACTTGTGGGCGCAATTCGTGGGTGGACGCTCTCTCAGGCGGGCCCAAAGCGCGGCGGATGGAAGAAGAGGAGCGAGAGTGGGATGACGCATGGCCGGCAGCCACTGGCATGTGGCTGCCTCCTACCCGCCCTGCTGACCACCCGCTTGCTGGCGGCACGCGAGGCGACGCGGATGGAGCAAGGATGGAGCGAGCGAAGCTCGTTGCTCCCTTGCGTGTTCTCCCACCTGCACCCTTGGGGTGAGGTGGAGGTGCGAGAAGGAGAGGCGGATAAGCTGAAGGAGGGGGTACTTGGAGGGAGAGGCTGTCGTATGTGGAAGGGAGTAAAAATCTGGGAGAAAGGTGTGTCTGAGTGGTGATACTTTGATTGGGGGTGGGACCTCCCTCTCATTGCTCTCCTCTCACTCTCCCTCTTGCCCAGCAGAGCCGCGGTAAGTGTGTGTTGGATGCGTTCTGAGATTGGTGGCTGCCACCCCACTCTTTGGTTCTCATCCTCCCGCTTGTCCCACCGCTTGCTCAACTCACCCTAAGCATACTTCACCTCATACTTCCCAGTCAACTCCTCTTTTGGCCTTTGACGCACTCCTGATCAGCACTCGTTGCTGATACCCCTTTAAAAGGGACTATCAGCAACGCCTGCCATGAGAAGGGGGTATGGGTCCGAGGGAGTGCAGTGTGGTGCCATCAGCAACGCCTGCCATGAGAAGGGAGTATGGGTCCGAGGGAGTGCAGTGCGGTGCCATCAGCAACGCCTGCCATGAGAAGTGAGTATGGGTCCGAGGGAGTGCAGTGTGGTGCCATCAGCAACGCCTGCCATCAGAAGGGAGTATGGGTTCGAGGGAGTGCAGTGTGGTGCCATCAGCAACGCCTGCCATCAGAAGGGAGTATGGGTTCGAGGGAGTGCAGTGTGGTGCCATCAGCAACGCCTGCCTTGAGAAGGGAGTATGGGTTTGAGGGAGTGCAGTGCGGTGCCATCAGCAACGCCTGCCTTGAGAAGGGAGTATGGGTCCGAGGGAGTGCAGTGCGGTGCCATCAGCAACGCCTGCCTTGAGAAGGGAGTATGGGTCCGAGGGAGTGCAGTGTGGTGCCATCAGCAACGCCTGCCATGAGAAGGGAGTATGGGTCCGAGGGAGTGCAGTGCGGTGCCATCAGCAACGCCTGCCATGAGAAGGGAGTATGGGTCCGAGGGAGTGCAGTGTGGTGCCATCAGCAACGCCTGCCTTGAGAAGGGAGTATGGGTTCAAGGGAGTGCAGTGCGGTGTGGGGCCGAGAAGAACAATTTTTTGTTTCTTGTATTCTTGTTTTTTCCTTGTCGCGTGTTTCGTTTTCGTTTTGCATTCTGTTTTCCCTTGCACCCTCACCACCAACTTCGTTTCTTTCCTTGTCGCATGTTTCGATTTCTCTTATGTTTTTTTGCATTTTCTTTTTGCTCGCATCTTCACCAGCAACTATATTTCGTTCTTTAGATCCCCCCTCTTGCATTCCCGTATGGCAGGGGGCAGCACGGCGGAGTGGAAAGCTGGTGGAGGCTGCTGCAGAGCGGGAGGCGCGGCAGCAGCAGCTACACGGAAGGGAGGAGGGAGGCGGGTTGGAGTGCGAAGGAGGAGGGAGCAGCACCTGTCACCAACAGCGCCTGCTTTCACAAGGGAGTATGGGGCTCAGGGAGGGGAACAATTTCCGCTCTGTTTTCGCATGCTTTTCATTTCCTTGTCGCATGTTTCAATTTCTGTTTCGTTTTTTGCATTCTCTTCACCAGCCACTTCTCTTTCTTCCCTTAGCTCCCCCCTCTTGCATTCCTGTACCGCAGAGCGGGAGGCACGGCAGCAGCAGCTACACGGGAGGGAGGAGGGAGGCGGTTGGAGTACGGAGGAGGAGGGAGCAGCAGCACCAGCAGCCTTCTTTCAGAAGGGAGTACGGGGCTCAGGGAGGGGACCATTTTCCGCTCTGTTTTCGCATGCGCGTTTCGTTTCCTTGTCGCATGTTTCAGTTTCTGTTTCGTTTTTTGCATTCTTTTCACCAGCCACTTATCTTTCTTCCCTTAGCTCCCCCCTCTTGCATTCCTGTACCGCAGAGCGGGAGGCGCGGCAGCAGCAGCTACACGGGAGGGAGGAGGGAGGTGGGTTGGAGTACGGAGGAGGAGGGAGCAGCAGCACCAGCAGCTTTCTTTCAGAAGGGAGTATGGGGCTCAGGGAGGGGAACATTTTCCGCTCTGTTTTCGCATGCTTTTCATTTCCTTGTCGCATGTTTCAAATTCTATTTTGTGTTTTGCATTTTTTTTTTGCTCGCATCTTCACCAGCAACTTATCTTTCTTTCCTTAGATCCCCCTTTTGCATTCCTGTATGGCAGGGCGCAGCATGGCGGAGTGGAGAGCTGGTGGGGACGGCTGCAGAGCGGGAGGCGCGGCAGCAGCAGCTACACGGAAGGGAGGAGGGAGGCGGGTTGGAGTGCGAAGGAGGAGGGAGCAGCACCTGTCACCAGCAGCGCCTGCTTTCACAAGGGAGTATGGGGCTCAGGGAGGGGACCGATTTCCGCTCTGTTTTCGCATGCTTTTCATTTCCTTGTCGCATGTTTCAGTTTCGGTTTCGTTTTTTGCATTCTCTTCACCAGCCACTTATCTTTCTTCCCTTAGCTCCCCCCTCTTGCATTCCTGTACCGCAGAGCGGGAGGCGCGGCAGCAGCAGCTACACGGGAGGGAGGAGGGAGGCGGTTGGAGTACGGAGGAGGAGGGAGCAGCAGCACCAGCAGCCTTCTTTCAGAAGGGAGAACGGGGCTCAGGGAGAGGACCATTTTCTGCTCTGTTTTCGCATGCTTTTCCTTTCCTTGTCGCATGTTTCAATTTCTATTTTGTGTTTTGCATTTTTTTTTTGCTCGCATCTTCACCAGCAACTTATCTTTCTTTCCTTAGATCCCCCTTTTGCATTCCTGTATGGCATGGCGCAGCATGGCGGAGTGGAGAGCTGGTGGGGACGGCTGCAGAGCGGGAGGCGCGGCAGCAGCAGCTACACGGAAGGGAGGAGGGAGGCGGGTTGGAGTGCGAAGGAGGAGGGAGCTGCACCTGTCACCAGCAGCGCCTGCTTTCACAAGGGAGTATGGGGCTCAGGGAGGGGACCAATTTCCGCTCTGTTTTCGCATGCTTTTCATTTCCTTGTCGCATGTTTCAGTTTCGGTTTCGTTTTTTGCATTCTCTTCACCAGCCACTTATCTTTCTTCCCTTAGCTCCCCCCTCTTGCATTCCTGTACCGCAGAGCGGGAGGCGCGGCAGCAGCAGCTACACGGGAGGGAGGAGGGAGGCGGTTGGAGTACGGAGGAGGAGGGAGCAGCAGCACCAGCAGCCTTCTTTCAGAAGGGAGTACGGGGCTCAGGGAGAGGACCATTTTCTGCTCTGTTTTCGCATGCTTTTCATTTCCTTGTCGCATGTTTCAAATTCTATTTTGTGTTTTGCATTTTTTTTTTGCTCGCATCTTCACCAGCAACTTATCTTTCTTTCCTTAGATCCCCCTTTTGCATTCCTGTATGGCAGGGCGCAGCATGGCGGAGTGGAGAGCTGGTGGGGACGGCTGCAGAGCGGGAGGCGCGGCAGCAGCAGCTACACGGAAGGGAGGAGGGAGGCGGGTTGGAGTGCGAAGGAGGAGGGAGCAGCACCTGTCACCAGCAGCGCCTGCTTTCACAAGGGAGTATGGGGCTCAGGGAGGGGACCAATTTCCGCTTTGTTTTCGCATGCTTTTCATTTCCTTGTCGCATGTTTCAGTTTCGGTTTCGTTTTTTGCATTCTCTTCACCAGCCACTTATCTTTCTTCCCTTAGCTCCCCCCTCTTGCATTCCTGTACCGCAGAGCGGGAGGCGCGGCAGCAGCAGCTACACGGGAGGGAGGAGGGAGGCGGTTGGAGTACGGAGGAGGAGGGAGCACCAGCACCAGCAGCCTTCTTTCAGAAGGGAGTACGGGGCTCAGGGAGAGGACCATTTTCTGCTCTGTTTTCGCATGCTTTTCCTTTCCTTGTCGCATGTTTCAATTTCTATTTTGTGTTTTGCATTATTTTTTTGCTCGCATCTTCACCAGCAACTTATCTTTCTTTCCTTAGATCCCCCTTTTGCATTCCCGTATGGCAGGGCGCAGCATGGCGGAGTGGAGAGCTGGTGGGGGCGGCTGCAGAGCGGGAGGCGCGACAGCAGCAGCTACACGGGAGGGAGGAGGGAGGCGGGTTGGAGTGCGGAGGAGGAGGGAGCAGCAGCACCAGCAGCGCCTTCTTTTAGAAGGGAGTATGGGGCTCAGGGAGGGGAACATTTCCGCTCTGTTTTCACATGCGTTTCGTTTCCTTCTCGCATGTTTCAATTTCTGTTTTGTGTTTTGCGTTTTATTTTCGCTCGCATCTTCACCAGCAACTAATCTTTCTTTCCGTAAATCCCCCTCTTGCATTCCTGTATGGCACGGCGGATGGAGGCGGGTTGGAGTGCGGAGGAGGGAGCAGCAGCTGTCACCAGCAGCGCCTGCTTTCACCAGGGAGGATGGGGCTGAGGGAGGGGTGAGGGGTGAGGGGTGAGGGGTGAGGGGTGAGGTCCTTGTGTGCTGTTCTTGAGGCGCCTCAAGACAGCTGTGAACTGCCGGTGGCGGTTCTGTTCTGTTCACTGCAGTGCACTGCAGCTTGTCGTTCTGTTTCCGTTCCGTCACTCCGTTGGTCCCTGAGTTTTGAGAGACGTCTCAAAACTCGTGTTCTCCTCACTGCAGAGTCGCTGCAGTGAGCAACCTCTGGGTTTTGGGCAAAGCCTCAAAACCCATTTCTCTTGTTCCTCACAGCAGCCTAGCTGCAGTGAGCCAAATTACACAGCTGGTCAGGACGCACGACTGGGCAGCAAGGACGGGCAGCACCTGCTTTGAGGATAATTTTCATCTGCCCCCGGGCAGAATGCATTGTGTTTTTTCTCTCTCTCCCCCCCTCCAACAGGGTCCCAAGCGATGGTTCCCACCTCACCGCGGTGCTTGGGTGTAACGTCAGGAGCTCTGCTCCTGGCGGCCAAGAGGAACCCCCCATGCATACCTACAGTGCATGGGTAGTAGTACAATAGTATACTATTTAGTATAGCAGATTATCGATATCTAGTGCTCAATTAGATCAGTAAATATTTGATACTGAGATATTTCACTGAGATCAGTAAATGAAACTTCTAGTGAACATGGACCCTTTGTTTGGATACTTGATACTGAGATATTTCACTGGATTATAATTACCGTACGGTACTGATATCAGGAGCATCAATATGTAGTTCTGAAATGGATAGTTACTAAATTGATTAATATGAGCAGTCACAAAGGGTGAACTCACTGATTGGTCAAATGAGATGCTGCAAAGGCAATCAGTCATACAGAGAGAGCCAGGCAATCAGTCATACAGAGAGAGCCAGGCAATCAGTCATACAGAGAGAGCCAGGCAAACTGTCACACAGAGAGAGCCAGGCAAACTGTCACACAGAGAGAGCCAGGCAAACTGTCACACAGAGAGAGCCAGGCAAACTGTCACACAGAGAGAGCTAGGCAAACTGTCACACAGAGAGAGCCAGGCAAACGGTCACACATCAATCCTCATTGTGGGTGCATGGGGTGGACAATAGGGGTATGACTTGTAAAAGGAGCATGTGGTTGTTCCCTTTTGTTTACTTTTGTCTTCTCTCGGACAACAGGGAAGATTTGAACCTCTGATCTCAAGTGTAACATGCCAACTAAGCCACTTCTCCGCATATGCAAAAATACACTGATAGCTCAGCATTCAAACAAATTCTTGCACCGATGCATGGAACCGTATACCTATCCGCACAGCACTGGAACATCAGGGTGAAAAACGCAGCCGCCACTGAAACGTCTTCAATAGCACAGCTTGATGGGATTAAACGTTGCCTCCTCGGCACTCTTCACCTGCCCGAACCCCCCTCCTCTGTGTGCTCCGTGTGCATGTAATGGTGGAAGGCTGGCAGACTCACTGCGGCCTCTCTCTTCAACCACGTACCACCCATCCAGATCCCTCCACACCCCTTCAATAGCACAGCTTGATGGGATCAAACGTTGCCTCTTCGGCGCTCTTTACCCGCCCAAACTCTCCCTGGTGCTGCACGTTGTACGCTCGGTGCTCCGTGTGCATGTAGTGGTGGAAGGCTGGCAGGGAGCGCACTGAAGCTATGTAGGGCAGCAGCAGGCGAATGCTGTCTGCCTCCTTTATTTGCCGGGCCTGAGAGGGATGTGTTGGGAGTGGGTGGTGAGGGCCAGGACGAGGCGGGGAGAAGATGCAGATGTGGTATGCATGGCATCAGCAGGCGAATGCTGTCTGCCTCGTTGCTGCAGCGCGGCTGAAAGGGAAGGGGGAGTGGAGAGCAGGTTCGGATGGAAGTGCTGTGATCCTGTGCTGCGAACAGTGATGCCGTGCACATGCCATGCAGGCGACATGCCGATTTCAAGCAGATGGTGTGTGCAGTGGAACATGGATGAGGTGAGGCACATAACTCATGGAGGGTGAGTTCACCTGGGTCATGTCAGGATCGATCCCGGCATCCGATGCACTGCGGAACCGAATCTCATGGATGGGGTGGGGCTCCTAACTCATGGCAGCATGCGTGCACCTGATTCATGTCGGGGTCGATCCCGGCATCCGATGCACTGATGAACCGAATCTCATAGTGAGGTTGCTTTTGAGGCGCCTCAAAACCAAGCAGATGGTGTGTGCAGGGGAGCGTGGGTTCACCTGAATCATGTCAGGATCAATGCCGGCATCCGATGCGCTGATGAACCGAATCTCATAGCCCTGCTCCAACGGATCCCCTGGCGACGGCACCTGCGAAACCACCTGATCAGGTGAATCCCCCAACAGAGCCCCATTCCCCCCTGCCTTCTCCCCACCCTGTCCTGCAGTTCGCCCTCTCCTGAATCCACCTTCCCCAGTCGGCCCTGTTCCATCCACCCTCAGCCCATGGTGACGCCAGGGCGGAATGTACTCCTCCCATTGGCCGTGTGGTGGGCGCAAGGGGGAGAGGGGGAGGGAGAGGGAGGAGGAGGAGGAGGAGGAGGAGGAGGAGGAGGAGGAGGAGGAGGAGGAGGAGGAGGAGGAGGAGGCGAAAGAGGAGGAGGGGGAAAGCAGCGGAGGAGTGCGCAGATCAGCAAAGCCGGAGCCATGGAGGGAGAAGATCCAATCATAGATGAGGGCGGAGCGTGGCATGTGGAAGGCGGAGGTGAGCACCAGCAGGCGCTGCCAGCGCCGCGGCACGGCGTGCCACACGAGGGAGAAGAACCCGTTTGCCACGGTGTCGTATGACGCCCACTCCTTGTAAATGTGCGAGGCGGGGATGCCGTGCTGTGGGGGGGAGGAGTAGCAGGAGTGAGGGGGGAGCAATGGGGAGGGTCTGTTTTGAGGGGCCACGCGAGAGAGAAGAAGACGTAGGCGACGGTGTCGTATGACGCCCACTCCTTGTAAATGTGGGAGGGGGGGATGCCGTGCTGTGGGGGGGAGGAGCAGGAGTGAGGGGGGAGGGAATGGAGAGGGACCCGTTTGCCACTGTGTCGCATGACGCTCACTCCTTGTAGATGTGTGTGGGGGGAATGTTGTGCTGGGGAAGAAGGGGGGGAAGGGGGGGAAGGGGGGAGCAAACGTGGGGGGAGGGAGGGGAGGGGAAGGAACTATATGAGGCGCCTCGAGAGAAGAACCCGTTCGCCATGGTGTCGTATGACGCCCACTCCTTGTATATGTGCGCGGAGGGGATGCCGTGCTGAGGGAAAGGGGGTAACGGGGGGGGAGCAAACGTGTGGGGGTGGAGGGGATGGGGAGGGTCGGTTTCGAGGCGCTCAAGGGAAGAAGCCGTTGGCCACTGGTTCAAAGGATACCCACTCCTTGTAGACGTGCGCGGGGGTGGCATGGGGAGAGGGGTGGGGCTGGGAATAAACGTTGGAGGGGGAGGTGTTGGGGGGCCAGGTGTGGGGGGAGATTGGGATGGGGAGAGGGGGTGTTGAAACTTAACAAGCCATTCTGAAGTCGACTCAGAAATTTCACTCACTATTTCACTCCCACTCTCACTCACTCCTACCAGCTCCAGATGCCACCTGAACCAGATGCTACCTGCCCCAGATGCTACCTGCTCCATATGCTACCTCCCCCAGATGCCACCTGCCCCAGATGCCACCTGCCCAAGATGCCACCTGCCCAAGATGCCACCTGCCCAAGATGCCACCTGCCCCAGATAATACGTTGTCCATGAGGTACTGAGCGCACGCGCTGCTCTCATGCCACATGTGTCCGTGCTGACTCAGCACTGGCTGCACGTGCGGCGTGCCCGCCCCCAGCACCACTATGGGGCAGCGGCAGGCGCTAGAGGGGACACTGGGGAAGGCGGAGGTTGAGGCGGAGGCGGAGACGTCCCCTTGCCCCCCGTTCAGTGCGCTGTCCTTCCCCTCCCCCTCCCCCCCGTTCATGGCGTGGTAGAGCTGCGCCGCTGCATCCAGGCGCCTCGCCACCCACTCTGCTCTGCGGGGAATGGGTGAGGAAGGGGGGTGTGGGGGGGAGAAAGGGGAGGGTGGGGAGGGGGAGACGAGAGAAAGGGAGGGGAAGGGGAAACGCTGATTGTCCTCCTTATGCCCCCCGTGCATGGCATGGTTGAATCCAGTCGCTGCATCCAGGCGCCGCGCCACCCACTCTGCTCTGCGGGGAGAGGGGGGAAGACGGGGGTACGGGGAACGGGGAGGGGGAGGGGAGGGGGAAAGCGGAGGGGGAGGGGAAGTGGGAGAGGGGGCTGTTCCTGCAAGACGTGACTGAGCAGTAACTGCGCACCTGGAACGGTGCCGTCGCGTTTCAGTCCGCCCGCCAGAACGATAATCCCGTCGGCCGCGAACCCCTCCCGTTCCGCGCGCGCATCCTCGCCGCTCCCCGCGCCATTCCCCGCGCCATCTCGTGCCTCCGTGCTCCCGCTTCCCGCCCGCACCTGGCAGATCGTGCTAAATCGCCGGAAGCTGTGCGCACGCTGCGCGCCAATCGCGCCGCCACGACCTGTTGGGCTACTGGGGCTAATCGGGAAAATGCCGGGCGCAAATCGCAAACCGCCGTGAATGGCGCTCGTGACGCAAGGCGCACTAGCGGATCGCGAGCATAGAGACCCCCTAAAAGCGGGTATTTGCGATCTGGTACAACTAGGGCCGTCGGATTGCGCAGCGGTGACCCGAATCGCGCTTTCAACGCCTTCCCGCAACACTAGCTGTCGTCCGGAAATCCCGCTGCTGCTGACATCCGCCGCGCGCCGGCAATCTAGACGATCGCGTAAACCGCTAGACTTGACGGTCAGGCGTGATAAGAGGATGCCGTGACCCTGTGCGGCATTTATACGAGCGGCTGACGTCATGGCGCGACCAGTGCCGTCGATCCACCTGGCGATCGACTGACACGTCATCCCTAAACACACGCAAGTTGCAAGGGAGGATACGCCGCGAGCCGCGATGGGAGGGGGTCAAGATCGAAGATCGCTAAGTACTCCAGTAAGCAGGTGTTGAAATAATGTAGCAATGTAACAGAATTCTTTTCTATTACGGTTCCCAGTTCCTTTTCCAGACAACAGATCCTCGTCTCGTTCGGTTCTGTGCGCTTCAAAGCGGTAATGCGCGATAGCCGTGTTACACCTTGAGGAACCCACCTGAACCACACACGTGCTGCTTGATTCTGGAGTCACGATCAGTCTCCACAAATCTGAACCGTTGAACGACAAGATGGTCTCGCGGTTCTATTGAGAGTAGAAACATGAATTTTGCTTCTGCGCCTTTCAAATAATTTTAGCAGAAATTTCATAAATCACAGGCAAGCAAGCCAGCTATTTACTACTAACGAGACAAACACCCTACTAAAACATCATTGCGCGGCCATCTGCTGCTGGCGGTACGTCTCGAAGGAGAACCTCTTAACGGTAGGGCTGGAAGGGGGGGTGAGTGACCGCGAAACGCCAACCACCATAGCCCTCCCGCTGCCGTCCCTCCCGCTGCCGCTAGCAACAGGGCTTCCCGGAACCCTGCTGTTCCTATTGCTGTCGCTCCGCGGCCGCAGCGGTCCGCTCTGGACGCGCCGCGCGCTGGAATGCCCCAATCGCGCGGAAGACTGCTCTGCCACGTCAGCACGAAATGAATTCCCCAGATCCAGATTCGCCGAGCTTGCATTGGACGTTATGTCGTTTCTGTCATGGCTGTCTCCGTCAACATTGTCTGATGTCGTTGACGGGGCGAGCTGCTGCCATGCGCTCAGCTGCTCCTCATCCATGCTCAAGGTCGCTCTGCCGCGACGTGCGGCGGGCGCCCCGCGACCGACGGGCTCCTCCTGCGTGGCCTTGGCCGCATTGCGTGTGCCGCGAGCGGCGGCGAGATCAAGTTCCGCAGAGGCGCCGGCGACGGAGGCGAGATGAGAAGGGGAGAGGCGGAACTGAATCTGCGACTCCGCGGCGCCGCGCTGCTTGAACCTCCTCGACACGGGGTTGGGCGATTTCGGCGACATCGCCGGCAGGTCGGCGGTAACACTCGCGGCTATCGGCGATCTCATCGGCTTGCTCGAGGCGCTGGTGGGGGAAGGAGGCGGCTTAGCCCGCGTGAACCGCGACAGCGACGTCTCGATGCGCGCGACGACGGCGCTCATTTTCCAAGGCCAACGCGCGGCCCCAGCGTCACCGCCTTGAGCGGCGAGGGCGGCGGCCTCTGCCTCGTCCGCGTCGGCGTGCATCTGCCACAGGTCGCCGGAGCCCAACAGGGACGAGGCGCGCTGCAGCGGCGCGATGAGGTGCTTCGCGAAGTTGGACGAGCAGAGGCGCTCCAGCGTGCAGGGCTCTGAGGCGGCGGCCGCCATAGCAATGGTGGTCTCTGCGACTCGTAGTGCCATTCGGCGTGAAATGCGCTGATCTAATGTTGAAGAATTGTGGTAGCAGGAGGAAATGGAGAAAGCGCGATTGCTTGATTTGGGAGGCTTGGTGTAAAAAAATCGCTAGTGACCTCGTATTAGTAGTACCCCATGAGGCTCGTTGTTCGACCTTTCCTTTGGTGACCCTGGTGAGAACTCAAGATGGCAAGCTTGCAAACGTCAGCTTGCTAAGGCGGTGGATGTGAATCCAAGGAAGCATGTGATCCCAATCCCAACCTGATCCCATCTCCCCAAGCCACCCCTTTCCATCCCATCGCAGACACACCAGACCCATTCTCGGCGAACACCATCGATGATGTGAGTGGGCTACGAAAAGAAGCAGCGAAGCTGCCGAGATGGGCGGGGTTGCCTGTTTGAGCAGGAGAGAAGACAAATCGAGAAATGCAAAGCTGGCCTTGTTGACAAAGTTCGGCCACTGGAGCGCCATCTCAACTTCGATTCAGGTCGTATCCCTGGCTGGTGGCAAGAAGTTGGTGGCAAGAATTGTGCGCACGCGATTGGTTAAAAAACGCTTGACCAATCGCATTGGCCGGGCGTCTGTTTTGGACCAATCGCGTGCGGAAACTTCTTGCCACCAACTTCTTGCCACCAGCCAGGGATACGACCTCAATCCATTCCATCACATGGAGGGGGTGACACGATTTCTCGTGACAGGAAAAAGGATCGTTCGAATCCAGTCGAGTTGAGGGTAGCGGATACAAGCAGATTGAGGGCTCATGCCTCAGCGCAAGGGGGAACTGGAAATTACAGATTTTGCTTCGCGAATCGCAATTCTCGGCCCAGCAGCACGGAGATGCACAAAACACAGATTTTCCATGCGCAGCCGCGTGGGTGGACTATTTTCTCGTTCAGGTTTCTCCAAGTTCTCGTACAGTACCCCCACTACAGTCCACTAATCGGCCCAACGTGCAGCCGAGCCATGCACACGAGGCAAAACTTCGTTCCTGGCCAAAGTGACAAGGGAATGAAGAATTGGACGCTGGCTCCTTTGGGGTCACTTCTCCGTTTAGTGAAACTCTGACGTGCGATGTGACGTGGACTCCGTGATATTTCCATGCGTGAACCCAAACCGATCCAGCCAAAGTTTATCTTGCACTGTAGCAACCGATTGCGTCACGTGAATGCTTGTGACCGTGGCAGATTCTTGCCACCACAGCACGGCGTAACCTCACCTCGCGGAAGCCGCGCAAGATTCTACCGTACACAACGCGAAGACAAACACTTCGTTATGATATGTTGGTGGATTATTTATACATTGGTGTTGGTGTGCCCAGTGGTTCAAGTACCTTAGCTTTTCAATTGTTGAGTTGCCATCTCCAAATTCTCCACAGAATGCCATGCATAGGGGTCGCACCATCAATGCATAGAAGTTGATTTCATATCATTCAGTAAAAGTTTTACCTAATTTCATGCTCAACAAGCGTCCTACTAGTCTTCTAAATATAACTCAGGAGCTGGTTATTGCACTGCACACCTAACCACCATCAGAGCAGCCTGTCACTCCACCTGCCCACATTCCCTATGCGCCACTGGACTGATCCTGGGCTGCCACATTCTTCCCGCAGCGGCACCATCCTCACACCATGGGCAGAAGAACCATCAGGAGCGGTGATCCTGGCAGAGGCGCCCACGTGCTCCATGCGCTCGTACCATGGCCCTATACTCAAATCCCCCAATGCGACGCGCTGAAGGGCACCTCACAGCCCTACTTGCATGCAGCAGCATCACCAGCGGCACCACCAGCGAAGCATCTTCAGCAGGGGTGATACTACCAGAAGCAACGCCCACGTGTGTTTGAACACGTTAACTTGTGTGCGAATTACAGATCCGAACCGCGGTGGTTCTCCTCCTCTGCGAGCAAGAAAGAGCTCTTTGAAGCATGAATTCATCTAAATTCTCCGCCTGCCAAGCAGATACGGCGATTCCTTTTCACCACACACTGGGACCAACTAACAATCAGTGAGACACACGCATGGGACATCATTGCGCGGCCATCTGCTGCTGCCGGTACGCATCGAACGAGAACGTCTTAACGGTAGGGCTGGAAGGGGGGGTGAGCGACCGCGACACGCCAACCACCATAGCCCTGCTGCTGCCACCTCTCCCGCTACCACTAGTAGCAGGGCTCCCTGTGGCGGCCCTGCCGCTGCTGCTAGCAGCAGGGCTTCCCGAGGCCCTGTTGCTCCTGGTACCGTCGCTTTGCCGCCGCAGCGGTCCGCTCTGGGTGCACCGCCTGCTCGAATGCGCTCCTCCCGCGGAAGACCCATCTGCCACGTCAGCACGAACTGAATTCCCCAAATGCAGATTCTCCGACTCTGCCTTCCACGCCATGGAGTTTACGTTAACGTCATTTCTGTGAAGGCTGCCTCCGTCAACGTCGTCTGACGCCGTCGCTGCAGCGTGCTGCTGCTGCCATGCCCTAAACTGCCCATCATCCATGCTCAAGCTCGCTCGGCCGCGCCGAACGGCAGTCGCCACGCGACCGACGGGCTCCTCCCGCGTGGTCTTGGCCGCATTGCGCGTGCGGGCGGCGACGAGATCACGTTCCGCAGAAACACCGGCCACGGAGGCGAGCGGCAACGGGGAGACGCGGAACTGAATTTGCGACTCCGCGGCGCCGCGCTGCTTGAACCTCCTCGACGCGAGATTGGGTGATTTCGGCGACAATGCCGGCGGATCGGCGGTGACACTGGCGGTTATCGGCGACCTGGGCGGTTTGCTCGGGACGGTGGGTGACGGCGGCGGCTTCCGCCACGTGAAGCGCGACAGCGACGCCTCGATGCGCGCGACGACGCGGCTGCTCACTTTCCATGGCCGTCTCGCGAAACCCGCGCCGTCACCACCTTGAGCGGCGGGGGTGGTAGCCTTCGCCTCCTCCGCGTCAGCGAGCATTTGCCACAGGTCGCCCGAGCCCAGCAGGGACGAGGCGCGCTTGAGCTGTTTGGCAAATTTGGACGAGCAGAGACGCTCTAGCGTCCGGGGCTCTGAGGCTACGACTGCCATGGTTGTGGTCTCTGCCGGTAGTAGTGAAAGTTGCTCGGCGTAGAATGCTTGAAATGGAAGGCAAGAAAATACCAGGCGCGGATGTACAAAATAATCTCAGAAGTCTTTGAGAAAGTAAAACGAGGAAAGGGAAATATATCCATGGCGTCGTCGTTTCGTTGGATTAGAGCTTGCGTGGAGGCACCGCAATGTTGCTCCCGCCGTGGTTGTCCGTTGAGATATTCAGGCCAAGTGGAGAGTGCGTATTTCCTAGTGTCGCTTTGATAGACAGTGGATTTTTATTCTACGAAGCACGCGATCGTGGAAGCAGCAAAGCTGCATGAGCCGGGCGGGACCGCGTGGTTGACGCGCAGATAAGACAATCGGAAAGATGCAAAAAGATGACTCTGCATGTGAACACCATCCGAAATGATTTCTCGCAGGAGCAAAACGGTTGCTCAAATCCAGTCGATAGGGCAGCAGAGCGGAGCAGATCAGTTGAAGGGCGGAAATTGGGTTTGGGGATGGGGAGGGATTTCTCTCGGTGTGAAGTGAAATGGGTTGGGAGTGGGAGGGTGGGAGAGAGGACTGATGTGACCTGATTTTATCGCGTGAAGCCTTCAGAAGCTGCCGATTTGTCGTACAGATTTTCTCAGTAACACCAGGCAGGCCCAAAAAGATCGTCCACGATGTACATGTGATTATATCGATGGCGACACGAGTGATATGATGCGTCCAGCGCTGATTTCAAGGCTTGTCGGCTTGGCTATACAAAGTGAGGTAGTGTATCTTGTGTTTATTTGAAGGGGCTCTTCACAACAATTCATAGTGTTGTTTCTGTCTGTTGGCTTGACCTAGAGCGTGCTTTGTCACATATGGATGTCATACCACTGACAGCTTGATAGCATTCTTTATGCCATGAGATTAACTAGCAAACAAGGTATTTAAGTCATCCTTCGCTTCCCATGCATTCCACTACCTTCCCTCCACAACCATATCAGCAGAGCTACCGGTAAGTCGCATCGCCTGAACCACAAACCACCACCCTTGCAGTGCTCACTGCCCCCTTGGCACTACAGTGCCAATATGCCATCTCCCACACGCGGACGCTCTCAGTGGCCCACATAGTCAACCCATGGCAATCTCCGCTACACAGCCATCCACCATTGGTGCAGCAGAGCCTTCAACTCTGCAACACGCCTCCACCCGCTATCCTGCTTCTTCCAACAGCATCACCAGAAGCAGACGCAGGCAACACATCCCTGCCAAGGCCCCCAAACAACTTCATCTAGTTGTGCCAGTGGCCCTGAAGCTTAATTTCTCTAGACTATCTTGCCCTAAGGCACCTTGGACTCCTACTGGTCTGCACCAGCACTGCAACTCTGGGAGGTTGCAGCACCATCAGCAGCAGCACCACCAGCAGGGACACCACCAGCAGGGACACCACCAGCAGCGACACTACGAGCAGCAGCATTTCACGAGTGGTGATCCTGGAAGAAGCGCCCACGTGATGCTCCATGCGCTCGTACCATGGCCCTACGCTCGAATTCTCTAACCCATCTTGCCCCCCCGGGCACCTCCCAGCCCTACTTGCCTGCAACAGCATCACCAGCGGCACCATTAGCAGAAGCATCTTCAGCAGCAGTGATCTAGCAGAAGCACCCACGTGCTGCCCCATGCGCTCGTACCCCAACTTGCCGACAGGCACCTTACACCCTTACTTGCCCACAGCAGCACCTTCAACGGCGGTGATCCTGGCAGAAGCGCCCACGTGCTCCTCCATGCCCTCGTACCATGGCCCTATGCTCGAATTCGCCACCATGTCCCTGCCAGCTGTCAGGTGCCTGATTGGCCGCAGCACTCCAAACACCGCCAGGTCAGCGAGGTTCGGGGTCTCTCCTCCTGTTGGCACGGAACCAAACAAAAGAAGAAACAAACAGAAAATGGAGGGTGGGAAGAGGAGGGGGGGCAGGGGGGAGGAGGTGGGGGAAGGATAGAAGTGAGCACTCAGGGCATCAAAGTGAGCAGGGGTGCGATATGACAGGGGGGGGCATGAAGGAACTCACACCAGACACTTTATACAAAAAATCCATTAAACGCTTTGCCACGAGAGCATGAAGCACACTATCACAAGGAGAATTCAGATAGATTCTGAGCAGCACTCCGTTGGCAACGTACCGAGGAACTCCCTGTTCGCCTTGTAAAGGGCAATGTGTTTGAGTCTACTCAAGACACACCCATGCATCCCAATCACCGCACTCAACCCACAGGCAACCTACCGAGGAACTTCCTCCACCCACTCATCAGCCGCCTCGTAAAGGTCAGTGAGCTCATCCGCTATGCCATGCTTCTTCTCAATAACGGCGCCCGCACCCAATTACGCAGCCCACAGGCAACCTACCAAGGAACTTCCTGTCGCCGAGAGCCGCCACCCACTCATCAGCCGCCTTGTAAAGGTCGGTGCGCTCGTCTGCTATGCCATGCTTCTGCTTCAGCTTCTTCCCAATCACACACATGGCACCCACACCCAATTACCCCACTCACTCCACGGGCAACCTACCAAGGAACTTCCTGTCGCCGAGAGCCGCCACCCACTGGTCGGCCGCCTTGTAAAGGTCGGTGCGCTCGTCCGCTATGCCGTGCTTCTTCTGCTAATCACATACGTGGCGCCCACACCCACGCACACCCAAGCACCCCATCCACAGGCAACCTACCGAGGAACTTCTTGTCGCCGAGAGCCGCCACCCACTCGTCGGCAGCCTTGTAGAGGTCAATGCCCTCGTCACATCACATTCACCCCACACACCCCACACATCCCAGACCCCACCCCGCCAAGTGCCGCCACCCACTCATCGGCCGCCTTGTTAATGTATGTGCTCTCGTCCGCTATGCCGTGCTTCTTCTTCAGCTTCTTCCCGATCACCTACATGGTGCCGGCTACAAAGTACCGTGCCAGGGGCAGTGGAAAACGGAAGAAGGGGTCCTTGTACAAAAGAACCTAAGAAGGCTTTCAGAAAGTAAAAACCGGAAAGATATAACATATCCATGGCGTCTTCGTTAAATTGGGGCTTGCATGGAGGCACCGCAACGTTGCTCCCGCCATCTCAGGCGTTCGTTCGGATGCTTCAACGTCTGGAAGGACTGTAAAAGCAAGAGGAGAGGATGTATCTCCTACTGTCGGCTTTGAGAGGCGGTGGATATTTGGATCCAAATACGCACGTGATGGTGGAACCAACGTAGCTGCATGGGCTGGGCGGGATCGCGTGGAGATAAAGACATTAGTAGAGATGAATCTTGCCCACGCGAATTCCAGAAGATCGAGCAGTCTGGGGTTCGCTTGCCTTCATGGCTGGGCTGTGGGGAGAGGCGCCTCTGCTCTGGGGGCTGTGAGAGAGAGGCGCCGCTGCTCTGGGGGCTGTGAGGGAGAGGCGCCGCTGCTCTGGGGGCTGTGAGGGAGAGGCGCCGCTGCTCTGGGGGCTGTGAGGGAGAGGCGCCGCTGCTCTGGGGGTTGTGGGAGAGGCGCCGCTGCTATGGGGGGTTGTGAGGGAAAGGCGCCGCTGCTCTGGGGGGCTGTGAGGGAGAGGCGCCGCTGCTCTGGGGGGTTGTGAGGGAGAGGCGCCGCTGCTCTGGGGGCTGTGAGGGAGAGGCGCCGCTGCTCTGGGGGCTGTGAGGGAGAGGCGCCGCTGCTCTGGGGGCTGTGAGAGAGAGGCGCCGCTGCTCTGGGGGCTGTGAGGGAGAGGCGCCGCTGCTCTGGGGGGTTGTGAGGGAGAGGCGCCGCTGCTATGGGGGGTTGTGAGGGAAAGGCGCCGCTGCTCTGGGGGGCTGTGAGGGAGAGGCGCCGCTGCTCTGGGGGGTTGTGAGGGAGAGGCGCCGCTGCTCTGGGGGCTGTGAGGGAGAGGCGCCGCTGCTCTGGGGGCTGTGAGGGAGAGGCGCCGCTGCTCTGGGGGCTGTGAGAGAGAGGCGCCGCTGCTCTGGGGGCTGTGAGAGAGAGGCGCCGCTGCTCTGGGGGCTGTGAGAGAGAGGTAAGGTGCCGCTGCTCTGGGGGCTGTGAGGGAGAGGCGCCGCTGCTCTGGGGGCTATGAGGGAGAGGCGCCGCTGCTCTGGGGGCTGTGAGGGAGAGGCGCCGCTGCTCTGGGGGGTTGTGAGGGAGAGGCGCCGCTGCTCTGGGGGCTGTGAGAGAGAGGCGCCGCTTCTCTGGGGGCTGCGAGGGAGAGGCGCCGCTGCTCTGGGGGCTGCGAGGGAGAGGCGCCGCTGCTCAGGCAGCTGGGAGGGAGAGGCGCCGCTGCTCTGGGGGCTGTGAGGGAGAGGCGCCGCTGCTCTGGGGGGCTGTGAGGGGGAGGCGCCGCTGCTCTGGGGGCTGTGAGGGAGAGGCGCCGCTGCTCTGGGGGCTGTGAGGGAGAGGCGCCGCTGCTCTGGGGGCTGTGGGGAGAGGCGCCGCTGCTCTGGTGGCTGTGGGGAGAGGCGCCGCTGCTCTGGTGGCTGTGGGGAGAGGCGCCGCTGCTCTGGGGGCTGTGAGAGAGAGGCGCCGCTGCTCTGGGGGCTGTGAGAGAGAGGCGCCGCTGCTCTGGGGGCTGTGAGAGAGAGGCGCCGCTGCTCTGGGGGCTGTGAGGGAGAGGCGCCGCTGCTCTGGGGGCTGTGAGGGAGAGGCGCCGCTGCTCTGGGGGCTGTGGGGAGAGGCGCCGCTGCTCTGGTGGCTGTGGGGAGAGGCGCCGCTGCTCTGGTGGCTGTGGGGAGAGGCGCCGCTGCTCTGGGGGCTGTGAGAGAGAGGCGCCGCTGCTCTGGGGGCTGTGAGAGAGAGGCGCCGCTGCTCTGGGGGCTGTGAGAGAGAGGCGCCGCTGCTCTGGGGGCTGTGAGAGAGAGGCGCCGCTGCTCTGGGGGCTGTGAGGGACAGGCGCCGCTGCTCTGGGGGCTGTGAGGGAGAGGCGCCGCTGCTATGGGTTGTGAGGGAGAGGTGCCGCTGCTCTGGGGGCTGTGAGAGAGAGGCGCCGCTGCTCTGGGGGCTGTGAGAGAGAGGCGCCGCTGCTCTGGGGGCTGTGAGGGGGAGGCGCCGCTGCTCTGGGGGCTGTGAGAGAGAGGCGCCGCTGCTCTGGGGGCTGTGAGAGAGAGGCGCCGCTGCTCTGGGGGCTGTGAGGGGGAGGCGCCGCTGCTCTGGGGGCTGTGAGAGAGAGGCGCCGCTGCTCTGGGGGCTGTGGGGAGAGGCGCCGCTGCTCTGGGGGCTGTGAGGGAGAGGCGCCGCTGCTCTGGGGGCTGTGAGGGAGAGGCGCCGCTGCTCTGGGGGCTGTGAGGGAGAGGCGCCGCTGCTCTGGGGGGTTGTGAGGGAGAGGCGCCGCTGCTCTGGGGGTTGTGAGGGAGACGCGCCGCTGCTCTGGGGGCTGTGAGGGAGAGGCGCCGCTGCTCTGGGGGTTGTGAGGGAGAGGCGCCGCTGCTCTGGGGGGTTGTGAGGGAGAGGTGCCGCTGCTCTGGGGGGTTGTGAGGGAGAGGCGCCGCTGCTCTGGGGGTTGTGAGGGAGAGGCGCCGTTGTTCTGGGGGCTGTGAGGGAGAGGCGCCGCTGCTCTGGGGGCTGTGAGGGAGAGGCGCCGCTGCTCTGGGGGCTGTGAGAGAGAGGCGCCGCTGCTCTGGGGGCTGTGAGAGAGAGGCGCCGCTGCTCTGGGGGCTGTGAGAGAGAGGCGCCGCTGCTCTGGGGGCTGTGAGAGAGAGGCGCCGCTGCTCTGGGGGCTGTGAGAGAGAGGCGCCGCTGCTCTGGGGGCTGTGAGAGAGAGGCGCCGCTGCTCTGGGGGCTGTGAGGGAGAGGCGCCGCTGCTCTGGGGGCTGTGAGGGAGAGGCGCCGCTGCTCTGGGGGCTGTGAGGGAGAGGCGCCGCTGCTCTGGGGGTTGTGGGAGAGGCGCCGCTGCTATGGGGGGTTGTGAGGGAAAGGCGCCGCTGCTCTGGGGGGCTGTGAGGGAGAGGCGCCGCTGCTCTGGGGGGTTGTGAGGGAGAGGCGCCGCTGCTCTGGGGGCTGTGAGGGAGAGGCGCCGCTGCTCTGGGGGCTGTGAGGGAGAGGCGCCGCTGCTCTGGGGGCTGTGAGAGAGAGGCGCCGCTGCTCTGGGGGCTGTGAGGGAGAGGCGCCGCTGCTCTGGGGGGTTGTGAGGGAGAGGCGCCGCTGCTCTGGGGGCTGTGAGAGAGAGGCGCCGTTTCTCTGGGGGCTGTGAGAGAGAGGCGCCGCTGCTCTGGGGGGTTGTGAGGGAGAGGCGCCGCTGCTCTGGGGGATGTGAGGGAGAGGCGCCGCTGCTCTGGGGGGTTGTGAGGGAGAGGCGCCGCTGCTCTGGGGGGTTGTGAGGGAGAGGCACCGCTGCTCTGGGGGGTTGTGAGGGAGAGGCGCCGCTGCTCTGGGGGGCTGTGAGAGAGAGGCGCCGCTGCTCTGGGGGCTGTGAGGGAGAGGCGCCGCTGCTCTGGGGGCTGTGAGAGAGAGACGCCGCTGCTCTGGGGGCTGTGGGAGAGAGGCGCCGCTGCTCTGGGGGCTAAGAGAGAGAGGCGCCGCTGCTCTGGGGGCTGTGAGAGAGAGGCGCCGCTGCTCTGGGGGCTGTGAGAGAGAGGCGCCGCTGCTCTGGGGGCTGTGAGAGAGAGGCGCCGCTGCTCTGGGGGCTGTGAGAGGCGCCGCTGCTCTGGGGGCTGTGAGAGAGAGGCGCCGCTGCTCTGGGGGCTGTGAGGGAGAGGCGCCGCTGCTCTGGGGGGTTGTGAGGGAGAGGCGCCGCTGCTCTGGGGGCTGTGAGGGAGAGGCGCCGCTTCTCTGGGGGCTGTGAGCGAGGCGCCGCTGCTCTGGGGGGTTGTGAGGGAGAGGCGCCGCTGCTCTGGGGGATGTGAGGGAGAGGCGCCGCTGCTCTGGGGGGTTGTGAGGGAGAGGCGCCGCTGCTCTGGGGGGTTGTGAGGGAGAGGGGCCGCTGCTCTGGGGGCTGCGAGGGGCAGGGGCCGCTGCTCTGGGGGCTGCGAGGGAGAGGCGCCGCTGCTCTGGGGGCTGTGAGGGAGAGGCGCCGCTGCTCTGGGGGCTGCGAGGGAGAGGCGCCGCTGCTCTGGGGGCTGTGAGGGAGAGGCGCCGCTGCTCTGGGGGTTGTGAGGGAGAGGCGCCGCTGTTCTGGGGGCTGTGAGGGAGAGGCGCCGCTGCTCTGGGGGCTGTGGGGAGAGGCGCCGCTGTTCTGGGGGCTGTGAGGGAGAGGCGCCGCTGCTCTGGGGGGCTGCGAGGGAGAGGGGCCGCTGCTCTGGGGGCTGTGAGAGAGAGGCGCCGCTGCTCTGGGGGCTGTGAGGGAGAGACGCCGCTGCTCTGGGGGCTGTGAGAGAGAGGCGCCGCTGCTCTGGGGGCTGTGAGAGAGAGGCGCCGCTGCTCTGGGGGCTGTGAGAGAGAGGCGCCGCTGCTCTGGGGGCTGTGAGAGAGAGGCGCCGCTGCTCTGGGGGCTGTGAGAGAGAGGCGCCGCTGCTCTGGGGGCTGTGAGAGAGAGGCGCCGCTGCTCTGGGGGCTCTGAGAGAGAGGCGCCGCTGCTCTGGGGGCTGTGAGAGAGAGGCGCCGCTGCTCTGGGGGCTGTGAGGGAGAGGCGCCGCTGCTCTGGGGGCTGTGAGGGAGAGGCGCCGCTGCTCTGGGGGCTGTGAGGGAGAGGCGCCGCTGCTCTGGGGGCTGTGAGAGAGAGGCGCCGCTGCTCTGGGGGCTGTGAGAGAGAGGCGCCGCTGCTCTGGGGGCTGTGAGAGAGAGGCGCCGCTGCTCTGGGGGCTGTGAGAGAGAGGCGCCGCTGCTCTGGGGGCTGTGAGAGAGAGGCGCCGCTGCTCTGGGGGCTGTGAGAGAGAGGCGCCGCTGCTCTGGGGGCTGTGAGAGAGAGGCGCCGCTGCTGTGGGGGCTGTGAGGGAGAGGCGCCGCTGCTCTGGGGGGTTGTGAGGGAGAGGCGCCGCTGCTCTGGGGGTTGTGAGGGAGAGGCGCCGCTGTTCTGGGGGCTGTGAGGGAGAGGCGCCGCTGCTCTGGGGGCTGTGGGGAGAGGCGCCGCTGTTCTGGGGGCTGTGAGGGAGAGGCGCCGCTGCTCTGGGGGGCTGCGAGGGAGAGGGGCCGCTGCTCTGGGGGCTGTGAGAGAGAGGCGCCGCTGCTCTGGGGGCTGTGAGGGAGAGGCGCCGCTGCTCTGGGGGCTGTGAGAGAGAGGCGCCGCTGCTCTGGGGGCTGTGAGAGAGAGGCGCCGCTGCTCTGGGGGCTGTAAGAGAGAGGCGCCGCTGCTCTGGGGGCTGTGAGAGAGAGG